AATAATAATTAAAAAAAAATTAAAATTGTTAGTATTATTTCTTTCAATAGCATAAGTGTTGGTTGTTACACTATTGAAATGTCAGAGAATTACTGATGTGGGGGGTGTGGCCAAAGAACAAAAACAAATATTTGAGGGTGCCATTAAAATTTACTTAAAAAAATAACTATAAGTTTGCTTTTGAGTATCATTTAATATTTAAAACATAATTTCGTATTTTCTAACATAATCCATTTGCTCCTTTAGATGGTTAGTGGACTACATTCAATACAATAATTCCTTAATAACCCATATACAATTTTTGGCCTCATATACATTCAATATAAGAATCTTAGTCAATTATATTTTTATTAGACGACTTAAATGACATTTGAATAAAATAAGCAGAACGGTTAAAAATCAATTTAAGTATCAAGTATCCATTATTAAAATTTATATTCAAGCAAACATTGTCTTAGTGATGTGTTGTCATATATGCGTTGTTAGGTTTGACGAAAACTATAAATTTTACATTTTAGTCACGAGTTGACTATGGTTTGGTGCAAAAGTGTAAAACATATGGAGGTGGTGTGTGTTTTACCCTAATTGTAGAGGGGCTTTTTTTTTATATAATTAATCCAAATATATATGAAGAGGGTCTTACTCCCCCAAATAGTTGAATTTCTGATCATGATAATCTCTATGTAATTAATGAATATCTTAGGGACTGATTAGTTTTGGAGATTACTTGAATATTATGTGTGTGCAACTTTCTCTGTGTTGTGTTGATATATTTGACGTAACAAGAATGAGGTTCAATTCTAACATAGGTGAAATGACCAAGTGGGGTTTAGTCATATGACAATAAAGTTTATTTTGAATTCTGGTCAGGGTGTTGGCTAGGAAAGTACACTAGAATGGTGGGACCTATCTGGATCCTTTAAGGTTAATTTTGATGGGGGAGTGTTTGACATAGAAAGTGCTATTGGGGTAAGGGTGGTTATTCGCGATGAAATTGGGTCGTTCATCGCTGCGATATCTAAGAAGTTAATTAGTTTTGTAACATTCCGTATTTTCTTTTATATATGTATATAGATATATAGTAAATAATTGTGTTAAAAAAATGTTGATATATCTAGTGATGTGTGTTTGAATTTGGTAGATTAGAAAAGTAGAGATTTAAAATGTTAGTAAAAATAATAGTTGAAATTTAGTTTTAATAAGTGAAAATATAAAATTTAGATCCTAGAACTTGTATTAAATAGGTTTGATGTAGAAATATGTGTTGGGGAAGTTTGGGATGGATTTGGTTGGCTTAGGAATAGATTGAAAATGGAAAAAGAAAGAAAATAGACNTATAAAATTTAGATCCTAGAACTTGTATTAAATAGGTTTGATGTAGAAATATGTGTTTGGGGAAGTTTGGGATGGATTTGGTTGTCTTAGGAATAGATTGAAAATGGAAAAAGAAAGAAAATAGATTGTGAACAGTGCACTGCTGTAACTTCAAACTCGATTTCGACCTTGATGCAATCAATATCTCTTAAAATTCAAAACATGAAAATTTTAGAGCTCTTTCGTATTATTCCATAGCATCTTGAATCATTTCAATCGGAGCTTGGATGAGAGAGTTATGCTCAGATAACGAAACGGTGTCGAAATAGTCCAATTAGTTTTGTTTTGTATTTAATGTCTCCGTTTGCATCCTAAATCAAAATATAAGAATAATGAGTACTTTTAGGCTTCAAATAAGTATAAAAGGCTTTAAAAAACACCCTTTTATCACCTTTTATTTGCAAACATCGCAAAACTTTATCAATAGTCAATTCGGATGGATAAAATAGAAACTTTAGTGTTTCGGGTGTACGTTGACTTGGGTTTTGAGATAAATCATAAAAATAAATGTTTTTAGGTTAAAATAACATTAAAAATGAATCCGAAACGTCAACAAACCTTAGAGTAGTTATATGGATCAAATTGGAGATTCTTAGTGGCAAAATCGTAAATTTGGAGAAACCCAAAACAGCTTGTAAATAGTATTTTTCGGGGCTGCTATGTTTTAAACTCATTTTCACCTCATTTGCTCTCATTTCCTTCATTCCTCTCACACCCCCACACCTCTTGAAACCCTAGAGAACATTAGAGAAAAAGAAAGGAAGGCAAAAACAAGAGATTTAAGGGTGAATTAAAATCAAATATTCTGGTTCTTCACACCAAAGCTAAGGATTCAACGTAGGATTTTTCTCTTATTCACTTACGTTGAGGCTAGGATATTTATATATGTATGTTTTGNACCTCATTTGCTCTCATTTCCTTCATTCCTCTCACACCCCCACACCTCTTGAAACCCTAGAGAGCATTAGAGAAAAAGAAAGGAAGGCAAAAACAAGAGATTTAAGGGTGATTTAAAATCAAATATTCTGGTTCTTCACACCAAAGCTAAGGATTCAACGTAGGAGTTTTCTCTTATTCACTTACGTTGAGGCTAGAATATTTATATATGTATGTTTTANATATTCTGGTTCTTCACACCAAAGCTAAGGATTCAACGTAGGATTTTTCTCTTATTCACTTACGTTGAGGCTAGGATATTTATATATGTATGTTTTGGTTATCAATGATATATATACACTATGAAATCATCCTCTCTTAGGCTTTTTGCAAGAATTACATGTTTTGAACAAAGTAAAGTTTAATACTCATGAAATCTCCTTTCTAGTTTTAAAACCTTAATTTTTGGAGAGTGATGTATTTGCTTCCTAAATGCTTTCTTTATTATGAATTTCGAAATCTTAGTGCTTTATGTTGGGTAAAAAAATGATGTTATTGTGATCTCATGTATTTTCTTAGTTGGTTGTGGAATTGTTATATAATATATTTTAGAGATTTTGGATAGATACTTATAAATTGAGATAAATGTTGGAATTGTATACTTGGTTGAGTTGTTTGTGATGCACATGAGTGAGAGGTTCCTTGTAAGGATGTTCAACCCTTCCCAAGAGGTTCCCGATAAGGATGCTTAAGAAATAATGTAGTGATTAGTGAGAGATTTCATGTAAGGATGTTTATCTATTTTCAAGAGGTTCCCGGTAAGCATGTTTGAGAATCAAAGGCGACCTAAAAGGGGGGTGGAGTTTACCACAAAATATGCCACCTACCGAAAGAATTGTTGGGAATTAGTTATGACAATTAATGGTTATTATTTGTATGTGGTGCTCGTTTATTCATTTAAGTAATATTTTCAAATAAACTTGAGATTCTTTTTGAATGTCACTGCTTTATTTAAAATTATGTATCTATGTTATGTTAAAATTGAGACCGACTGTTTTAAATGTTTTTCTAAATTTTGTATGAGTTTGGGAGAATTTTTCTACAGAGCTTCGTGCTCACCCCCTATCGTTAACATTTTTCAGATTATCTGCTTGAGGAGGAGGACGTAAGGGTCGAGGAGTCCGCTACTTGGGAGACTTCACTAGATGAGAGGGTAGATCCTGAGGTAGACGCATAGAGCGACCTCCTTTCCTTTTATACTAAACTATGACATTCTTTTGGAATATTGTGTAGTTTAGCTTCTTTTGTTTATTCTGCTGCGCTTCTTTAATTAATTTTTGAGATGTAATAGTCATGACTTTGACTTATTCTTTTAGATAATGTTGTAAATATTCGTGGATGACAAATGAAATCTTGTTTCTTAAGGAATTATATTAGTGCTATCATGATATGAATGATTTTAGAATGTAATGTCGTCCAGAGTGTGTTTTGGGGCGTTACAGGTTTAGGAGAAGCNAAGGAATTATATTAGTGCTATCATGATATGAATGATTTTAGAATGTAATGTCGTCCAAAGTGTGTTTTGGGGCGTTACAGGTTTGAGAGAAGTTCAAACTGCAGAGACTATGACTACAAAGGAGGTTGTACTTTTTGCTAGACAAGTTGGGTGTGACGAGATTGTGTTGGAAGAGAATTCTTCTACAATCATGAAGATGATTGACGATAATTCTGAAGATTTTTCTTCTATTGGTGCTATGATTGTAGATGTGTAGCGATTTTTTTGTCTGTTTATTTTTATTCTTTGTTCACTATTAGATGATCAGGAAACAGTGTGGCTCACCAACTGGCTCGAAAGGTCTGATTAGGTGAAAATATTGATGTTTGGGAAGAGATGACACCAAATTTTTTGATATCATCTCTTCTCTCAGATTTAACTTCTTAATAAATTTCTTATCGTTTCGACTCAAAAAATATATATATATATATATATAAATATATATATATATATTCAAATTATGTGTATTTCTAAACACATAGTTACTAAGTAAACTCAAAATTTATGTAATTACTCGTAAAATCAAGTCAATTAGATAGTCTTTTACGAAATTAGAACTTATTTGAAAAATTATAAATCGAATTATAATCACTTTTGTTATATTTTGACCAAAAGAGAAAAAGAAAAAAAAAACTATCATCACTTCCACAGACACACGTTTGAAGAGTGAGGTCCAAGACTCAATGACGTTTATTACAATATAGCCGTTACCGTTGTCATTATTGTACGTTATATTTGCCCTTTCCTTTTCTTAGTTTTTTTCAAACCAACCCATGTGAAAATTCAAAACCCAAACCCGCGGTGATGTCTAGGCCGTCCAATTTCAAATCTAAATGAAATCTCAGTCGTCCGTTTCTAAACCTCCTCACTGCTCAGAGTTTAGAAACCCAAACCAAGAAATTCTATACCGTTAGAGAGAGAGAGAGCGAGAGATGATGTTCGGTTGAATCAAGATCCATTGTCATTGAGTTAGAACCCTAGAAAGAAGCAGCTAAAAGATTAGAACCACCTCTCTTTCTTCTGACAACGAAGCAATTTCAGGGGTTCTCCAGTTTCGAATTCTCTTTCTCACATCCTCTTTCAGGTAAGTACTCCAACACAGCCTTATCATCAGTTTCCAAATTCATAGCTTCCGCTTTTTTTTTTTTATTAATTATTGTTGAACTTTCCAATTCTCATACTATTGTATCCCAGAATGTTGAGGGACTTCAAATTCTTGCGGAGAAATTCCGGTAAGAATCAAAATACGGAAGAAATTGAGAATGTACCTGTAGTTGAAAACCCTAGGCATTCATTGGGTTCTCAGACCAGCATCGAGTCGTCGAGGCCTCCGTTAAGCACAATTCAAGAACCGATTCAGGGTTTTAAATCTAGTGTAGGACATGATGTGGGTGGAAAAAGTACAAAAATAGATACAACACCCACTAAGTCAAAAGGAAGGGATTCCGATCCAGGAATGCCAATTTTCCGTACCCCGGAAAAGCAAGGAGTTTCAGGGAAGAATCGATTTGGGTGGGCTCAGAAGAATGAATCAAGCTCAAATTCCATGGAATTTCGTGACGATGGAAAGTTTGCGAATGGGGGTTTTACTCCTCGATCAACTAGGACTGTGGGGAGAGCTAATTCAAGTTATTCAGAGTGCAATTCTACACAGAGCACACCAACTAAGAGTGTGTCCAAGCCTCCGAATCCAGGATTTTGTTTGACCAGTGGTTCTAGACCTCCTGTCAATGGAGGTGCTCGTATGGCCAACTTTGTTGCATTGTCTAAAGGGGTCCCAATTTTGGGTAATTCGTCAACTGTAGTTAACACAGTTGATGTGCCCCATTTTGAACTCAAAGAAGATCCATCATTCTGGATGGAGCACAGCGTACAAGTAAGCTCCTTCTTTGGTGCCCAATTCTGTTTTGCAGAAACTTCATGTTAAAGTTTTATCATTATTGAGGTATACCCTGAATTGGGTTTTTTTTTTTTTTTTTACTTTTTATTTATACAATTGGAGCTTAAGTCGGTGGTTGTCAAATTTATACAGGTTTTGATACGCGTCCGCCCCCTAAATAACACGGAGAGGAGTACCTATGGTTACAATAGGTGCTTGAAGCAGGAGAGTGCACAATGCATCACCTGGATTGGGCAACCTGAAACTCGATTTACATATGATCATGTAGCATGTGAAACTGTAGATCAGGTCTTGTGAGAAACGAAGTAACATTTCATTTAATTGAGAGATTCTTATCTATTTCTGTAAAATGCTTAACTTCATGAATTTTGCAGGAAACGCTTTTTAGGATGGTTGGTCTGCCTATGGTGGAGAATTGCTTGTCTGGATACAATAGCTGTATGTTTGCCTATGGGCAGGTATTCATGAACAATGGGTCAAACCTCTACATTATGTAATTACTTGGTTTGAAAAATTCTTGTTAGTCAGAATTGTATTAAACATATGGGCAGGTATTTCATGAACAATTGGAAATTATTGTTAATCAGAATCATATAGACCTACAAGCAAGTATGCAAACCTACATACCATAAATCCACTCATGTTTTGGTGCTAAACTGGACAAAATTCAGTCATATATGCATTCTTGATTGAAACTTGAGTATAAATTCATTTTATACATGTTTTAACTTTTAACCTGGTTTTGCTAGAGAAGGAAGTATTTGATGATATCTGCTTTATGACTTACATGGTTTTCTGTGCATGCGAGACACACCACACGAAAATAGTCTTGACTTGTATAAAATAAATTATCTTGCATAAGCCAACTCACGTAAAAATGTGATGGAATCTAGGGTGGCTTGGATTTCCTTCTCCCTGCCTCAAAGTCTCTTATGTGTTTCAAGTACGAGTAGGCAGGACTACAGGATATTGGTGTCCTTCCTTCTAGGGTTGCTTCTAGTCATTTTACTTGTAAAAGTTCTGGACTTTATTCGAGTTGCCTAAGTAAAAATATTCAGTTTATGACCATCTTCACGCAATTCCATCGCATTGTCTCATGTTTTTTTGGATATCACCTATTTACGGGCAGAATCATAGTTATTTGGGCTTTTGGTTTGGCGGTGGTCCATAAACTCAACTAAGATGAGCCATCTCTCAAAAGGTTGTCAATGGATGTTGGTGGTTTATCATCATCCACTCTGGCTCCTTTTCTTTTCGATTTCCGTCCTAGTCGTTTTTATTTTATTTTAACGTGGATGAGTTTGATTATGTAGACGGGCAGCGGGAAGACTTTTACAATGCTTGGTGAGATTGAAGAGTTAGAAGTTAAGCCCAGTCCGAATCGTGGAATGACACCACGTATATTTGAGTTCTTGTTTGCAAGAATCAGAGCGGTAACTTTTGCATCCTTGCTATATCAAGACCATCTTTATTTTGGACATTAGCATCTTAGTTGCAGTGACAACATGCTTCCGTCATATTTCTCCACATGCAGGAAGAGGAAATCCGAAGGGACGAGAGATTAAAATACAATTGCAAATGTTCTTTCTTAGAAATTTACAACGAACAAATTACTGATCTCCTTGATCCTTCGTCCACAAATTTGCTAGTAAGTTTAGCTCTTTCTTAAGTTTATGAGCACTGGGATAACTTAATATATTATTGTTTTCTTATGCATATTTTCTATTTGTAGCTGCGAGAGGATATTAAGAAGGGTGTGTACGTTGAAAATCTCTCAGAATTTGAAGTCCAGACTGTTGGTGACATTCTTAAGCTTCTAAGTCAGGTGACCAGTCATTTGTCCTTATAGCAGTTCAATGTGGATATGTCTTACTTTTATTTCACTCTTATTCCGCGCAAGTGAGCATGCATACTTGAACTAATTTGATATGAATAACCAAGTGCCTATGTGTAAACCCTTGATTTTTTTTTCATAGGGTTCTTCTAATAGGAAAGTTGCTGCCACGAATATGAATAGAGAGAGCAGCCGTTCCCACAGTGTATTGACATGTGTAATTGAGAGTAGGTGGGAAAAAGATTCCACCACTAATTTACGATTTGCAAGACTAAACCTTGTTGACCTTGCTGGTTCGGAAAGGTAGTGTGTTGCTAGGCTTATTACTCATCAGATTTTGAAATAACTTGTGCAGCATTTCATTTCCACTAATCTCGTCATGACCAATAACAGGCAGAAAACTTCTGGTGCTGAGGGTGAACGTCTAAAAGAAGCAGCAAGCATCAACAGATCATTATCTACGCTAGGGTAGTGACATAATAAATAAATTTCTCTGACTTCTTTTTGTTACAATCATATGGTTATTGATTCTGTGAATGCCCATTTTTTCTGCAGTCATGTGATAATGGTTCTCGTGGATGTGGCACAAGGGAAGCCACGGCATGTTCCCTATAGAGATTCAAGACTTACATTCCTTCTTCAGGTGGAATACAAATAAATGTATCTGTTGCCTTCATTTAGCTTACATTCCTTATTTCATAATCCTTGTTTAACACGAGGGTAAATACAGGATTCCTTGGGCGGTAACTCGAAAACAATGATAATTGCCAATGTCAGCCCTTCTATCTGGTATGTGCTTGTGTTTTAACTGTTAAACCGTCATTGCAACTTGAATGCTTAGGTGCCAAAATTTTAAATCCTGTCAGTAATTATTGTTTCCCAGCTGTGCTGCTGAGACACTGAACACGTTGAAGTTTGCTCAGAGAGCAAAACTGATTCAAAACAATGTAAGCTTGTTTTCTGAGCAATGGAATATAATTAATTTGTATCAAAAGTACACACTTTTTTCCCCTTTAATGTTAATTTTTTCTCTCTTCATGTCAAAGGCTGTAGTCAATGAAGATTCTGCAGGAGATGTCACTGCACTACATCATCAAATACGGCTTCTGAAGGTGTTATTTAGTTTTTTAATCTTTTAGATGAAAGATTAGTTCTTAGTTGGAACTAATAACTGGTTTTTGGAATAGGAGGAGCTTTCTGCTCTCAAACACCAGAATGTGTCCCGGTCTCTATTGTTCGGTCCAAAACTCATTGGAGACACCAGAGAAGAACATGAAAATAATTGCAATGAAAAGGCAATAGATGGGGATCAGCTGAGAAATTATACTTTGCTTGGAAGTGAATCCAAAGGTGTTCTGAGAATGTCTTCTAAGCAGGTATATTAACTTGTGTTTGTGCTGCACTCCCCCCCCTCCTCCTGTAAGTATTATTTCCCCAGAATGATAATGAATGACTGTGCAAATACTGTAGCAGGTATTTAATAGCTGACGAATTTGGTCCACTTGATGATATGCCAATATGTATATTTGTTGTCCTTGGATTTAGAAGCTAAAACTAAACTCAGTTTGATGATGTGGTCAATTGATGTTAGTTCAATTAAATGATATGTCATTACTCATTAGTATACAAAAGGAATAGGCAATTTCTTTTATGGATTTTATATGTCGTTTTCCTTCAATGTTTTTAGTTTGCTGATATGATTATTGGCGGCTAGATTAACTGTGTATGTGGTTATCTAATATCTATAGACGCCTAAACTGTAGATGTCCTTTGTGATCATCAGATTACTACCTATAATTCACTTGATTGCTTCTTATTCTATGTATCTATTTGTTAACAAGCACATTGACTGTTGCAATTATATGTATTGTTCATTATGCTGCTAAAAGTCTCTGGACCTTTTTCCTGTCTAATTTTCCTTCAGCTGAAGTCATTGGAGACGACGCTTGCTGGGGCTTTGAGGAGGGAACAGATGGCAGAAACTTCTATCAAACAACTTGAAGCTGAAATCGAACAGTTGAACCGTTTGGTAGCCCCCTTCTCTCTAGGGGCAAGGGAAATGGGGGTGGTTATGAAAGAAAACATTTGACATTGTGTCTTTATGAACTGCAATTTAATTCACGGCATACTGGTTCTCAGGTTCGTCAAAGAGAGGAGGATACCAGGTGCACAAAGATGATGTTGAAGTTTCGGGAAGACAAAATTCAACGCATGGAGTCTCTTCTTGGTGGCTTAACGCCTGCAGATGCTTACTTGCTGGAAGAGAACAATGCACTCTCGGAAGAGATTCTGCTGCTTCGTGCTAAAGTTGATAAGAACCCAGAAGTGACTCGCTTTGCCCTGGAAAATATCAGGCTTTTAGAACAACTTAGGAGGTAGCTCTCTATAAACAATAAAGTAGCTTGTTTCTAAAAAAAATTATCCAACTATGCTTTACCATTTTAACCAGTTTTTGTTCCTATTTTTCTTTTCGAATTTTTTAGATTTCAAGACTTCTATGAAGAAGGGGAGAGAGAAATGGTGTTGGCTGAAGTAGCTGAACTGCGGGATCAGGTCTGAAATTCCAAAAAGATGCTGTACTTTTCTTTCCCTGTCTTAGTCTGTTTGGAGCCTTATACAGCTAGTTCTTTCCTCTGTCTGCAGCTAGTTCTCTTTCTTGATGGGAACTTGAAGCAGCATAACCCTTTGAACATGGATATGCCACCACCTCAGGTAAGCTTCTTAAGTAGATTTAATATTTTTCCAGTTAATCTTGAAAATTGGATATAGTGCTGCTACCTTTTTAATCCGTAAACTGTTTCCCAATTGGCACAGGAAACTATATCAATCAGTAAGGAAAATGATTTGCTCTGCCTGGAGGTTACATTCTCGTATTCCTATAATTTATGCATGTATATTTGTATATATATGCGCTTAAAATTCATGTCTCTCCTCTGCTTTTTTCACATCGCAGTTGAAGAAGACTCTCAATGAGTTAGAGGAATGCAGGAGCAAATTAAACTCTTGCCTAGAGGACAATGCGAAACTCAGCAGGTAATCAAATAACGTCCTGCAATTTTATCTAGTTTAACCCAAGCGGTCAAGTAGAATGTTGACATTTATGCTTGCAGCTCTGAACACGATAATTTGTGTCTCAATCTTTTGTAGAGAAATTGATGATCTTCGTCCTTTGCTTAATGACCTCAATCGTATCCATGATCATGATGGCAGTGTTGAAGTCATAAAGGTACCTTTCTTTTCATGAGACTCTTACATATTGTATCTTTTTGGACCACAAACATTGTCATGACCCGATATTTTTGTTTTAATAATTTGGCGTGATTAATGAATATACCATTCCTAACACACAATAAATAATTTTTTTTGATATTATTGGGCCATAACTGAACATATCCTGATGAAAGTTACAATCTCGAGTTTAAAACATATCATAATCAAAATTAAAATATTTTGGTACGGAATAGATAATAATAACTTCTAGCAGTAATCTCCCCAGCCTACTCTTCTGGATTCAATCCTGCTTCTGAAAAACATAAAATAGAGATGAGCATCACATTCGGTCATTTATGAGCCATCTCCAGAGAAACATTTGGGGTCTTTCACCCTAGGGAACCCGATGCCCTTTTTGTTTGGGAACACAAATATTGCAAATTCTGCAGTGCCACAAAGGGTACCAGCTACATTCGACAGGGCTAACCAATGAACTCAAGGATTAATTGGAATTTTGTGAATCCTCGCAAGGTATGCATTCAGGGATCGTTTGGTTGTTGTATTATAGGACGTATTAAAGAGTCATATTAGATTAAAGCGATTTAATACGGGTTTATATTACATTTGGATGAAAAAAATCACTTCGTATTATATATGAGATTAAATAGATATGTATCTTCTACGNGGGATCGTTTGGTTGTTGTATTATAGGACGTATTAAAGAGTCATATTAGATTAAAGCGATTTAATACGGGTTTATATTACATTTGGATGAAAAAAATCACTTCGTATTGATAATTCTAATACAATCTATTTATCCTATTGAGCTATTGTAATACCACCAAGAGATAGGGATGGTAGTAGACCAGGGCGGGGATGGGGGGAGTAGTCTCTACTCCCGTACCTTACTTTAAAAATATTCGTCCACACCTCGGTTCACTCCCGTTAGTTGGAAAAATTTTAATCCCCACCTTCGTTCCGCGAGTAAATTTTAATCTCCATCCCTATCCCCTTCATATGGATAACCTATAAAGATGCACTTCATTTGTCATTCACATGGTTAATGATAAACGACATTAATANAGTAGTCTCTACTCCCGTACCTTACTTTAAAAATATTCGTCCACACCTCGGTTCACTCCCGTTAGTTGGAAAAATTTTAATCTCCATCCCTATCCCCCTCATATGGATAACCTATAAAGATGCACTTCATTTGTCATTAATAATATATATATATATATATATATATAATACAAAATATAACATACATGCGGAATTCATAAGATGAGAAGAAACTTGATAAACAAAGAAATATTTCAATAAGAAAATAAATACTTACAACACTAGAACTAATGGTCTAGTGGAAATAAGCGGTAATACAGCTCTTCTTTTGCATTATTAAAGAAGGCTTTACAAGTGAGGGGTAGGTTTACAAGTATTAGTGGCTTGTAATGTTGTTCTCAAACCAGACTAGAGAGAGTNAAATACTTACAACACTAGAACTAATGGTCTAGTGGAAATAAGCGGTAATACAGCTCTTCTTTTGCATTATTAAAGAAGGCTTTATAAGTGAGGGGTAGGTTTACAAGTATTAGTGGCTTGTAATGTAGTTCTCAAACCAGACTAGAGAGAGTGTCTGAAGTTCAAAAACTTGGTTTTTCTGAGGAGAGGGAGCTGCATTATATAGAGGTAGGGGACTCCGGATTCTCCTTGTGCAATCATTCTGCCTTTCTCTTTTACTCAGGGTAAAGTAAATTCACTTTCTTGCTTTCGGCTGAAAAGTGGAGTAAAATTCTTTTACCCGGGTAACTAGGATATACTGAAGGGACTAGTGGGTCTTGTCTGTTTGTCCTGAGAATCCATCTTTCGGTGGAAAAGCAGATTATGGGCCCTGCATTTGTCTGTGAGAATCCTGCTTTTAGGAAAGGGGATCCTATGCAGACTTGTGATATTATTTTTACACAGAGTGGACAGCTTTTCTTTCTCTTTTGAAGAAAGTAGTGATTGAAGCCACTTTATGTAAATCATAATTCACGGGAGTGCAAGGTCAGGAGTGAGATCATCAACATCAAAATCTTCCATTCCTTCATACGGATCCTGAGCATATCCTGGAGGGAGATCTGTTGTGAAAGATCCTTGGGAAGACGATGAGTCACTGTCTGAGTCAAGTTGGTCCAAGAGCTTCTTGAGGAGTTTTGCTTTGAACTTCTTTTTGCTGGACTTCTTGCTGGAGTCTTTAGAACCTTTAGATGAAAATTCTTCTGGTCTGATCTGTGCTATAGGAAGGCTAGCCTGGCTTGATTGAGCGGGCAATTCCTTCACTGGTGTTGCCGGTTGTAAGCAAAANCTAGTGGTCCTGACTGGTGGCTGTTGGGCCATTTGGGTAAAGGTTAATGGATTGATAATGGTTGATACGGCTACAGGCCGAATAACCAAGGCAGATTGGGCTACTGGCCTATTGGGCTGAGTAGTTTCCAATGATAAAAATCTGTTTGACAAGGCTACTGGCAAGTCAGGTTCAGATTTGGGTTGTTTTTGTTTATCCTTCTTTCCCCCCGTATTTTTGGAGGAAGTTCCAGATGAACTAGGTTTCCTGTCTTCCATGAGGTTCCTGCAAAAATTCTCTGATTAGGAAATCAGGAATATAATTATATTTGCCTTTGATATATTCGATATCAAAATCGAAAATACTTAAAATAGATTGCCATCTAGCAAAAATTTGCTTAGCAGCTATATTTTTGACATCTTTAGTTAAAACATCCTTGGCTGATTTACAGACCCGCACAAGGAATTTCTGATTTAATATATCATCCTGGAATTTAGAGATACACAGGACAATAGATAAAATCTCTTTTTTAATAGTGGAATAATTCTTTTGAGTTTTATTCTAAATACCAGAATGGAATCGAACAATTTGTTCAGGAGAATTAGGAGATTCTCTCTGAAGGAGGATTCCACCATAACCAACATCAGAGACATCNTCCAGTTTGCAGATAAATTTCCAGATGAAATCCTAGACAAAACCCAATTACAAAGGTTTTTAGGTTCCCTAAATTATGTTTCTGACTTTTATCAGGACCTTAGGAAAACCATCAAACCTCTGTATGACAGGCTCAAAAGAAATCCTTCTCCTTGGACCACTGTTCATACTTCCATTGTTCAACAGGTCAAGAAGTTCATCAAAACTCTTCCCTGTCTTGGTATTCCGTCCGTTGATTCTTTCAAAATCATCCAGACTGATGCCTCTGATATTGGTTATGGTGGAATCCTCCTTCAGAGAGAATCTCCTAATTCTCCTGAACAGATTGTTCGGTTCCATTCTGGTATTTGGAATAAAACCCAAAAGAATTATTCCACTATTAAAAAAGAGATTTTATCTATTGTCCTGTGTATCTCTAAATTCCAGGATGATATATTAAATCAAAAATTCCTTGTGCGGGTTGACTGTAAATCAGCCAAGGATGTTTTAACCAAAGATGTCAAAAATATAGCTGCTAAGCAAATTTTTGCTAGATGGCAATCTATTTTAAGTATTTTCGATTTTGATATAGAATATATCAAAGGAGAATATAATTATATTCCTGATTTCCTAACCAGAGAATTTTTGCAGGAACCTCATGGAAGACAGGAAACCTAGTTCATCCGGAACCTCCTCCAAAAATACGGGGGGAAAGAAGGATAAACAAAAACAACCCAAATCTGAACCTGACTTGCCAGTAGCCTTGTCAAACAGATTTTTATCATTGGAAACTACTCAGCCCAATAGGCCAGTAGCCCAATCTGCCTTGGTTATTCGGCCCGTAGCCGTATCAACCACTGTCAATCCACTAACCTTTACCCAAATGGCCCAACAGCCACCTGTCAGGACCACTAGTGCCATGACAAACCCTTATAAGGCCTCACAACCCTTTGCAGCCCAATTAGGCCCAAAGGTTGATTATATCAAAGCCTATTCCCAGAATGTTCTAGCCATTGAACTAGCCCATTCTAAATATAAGGATCCAAAAGACCTTGTAAAGGCCTACCTCCCAAAAGGTTGGACCTACATTCCAGTAGACTTGGAAAAACCCCATAGTTTTTACCAAGATATTCTCTACTACACCAAATCTATCCATACCAAGCCCATCCTTGATAAGATTAACCCAAATAAGGTTCTCTATCATAGCTTGGTCATAACCAAGATTATTTCTGTTGAGGAATGGGGTTCTCATCCTTCTTTGCTCAGAGAACTTCCCTTTCACACCAGACATTTTAATTACTATGACTACATTGAGTCATGGTCAAAAGTATTACTCTACCAAAATGAGGATTTGTCCCATTCTTGGTTCTTGAATTTTCATAAAGATTTCAAAAGTCATATTCCTGCATGGTTTAAACAGTGGTGGCATCAACATGGTCCCATTGATGAAATCTTTCCAGCTGATCTCAAAGATCAGATCAATATCTTCTACTCCTCTTACCGTCCTAGTAAACAGGAGTCCCCATTTCCCTTATTACTAATATTTATTTGCAGGTACAAAGTCCCCTGGATACTCAAATGGCAATGGGAAATTGTTGGATTTAATTTAACCCGGCAATTTTATGCCAAGTGGTGGCCCAGGTTTCAGCATAGTGACATTATTGCCATGGTGAAACAGGACTTCCCTGTAAGGGTCCCAACTCCAGTAGTAGTTCCAGGCCCCTTACAACCGGCAACACCAGTGAAGGAATTGCCCGCTCAATCAAGCCAGGCTAGCCTTCCTATAGCACAGATCAGACCAGAAGAATTTTCATCTAAAGGTTCTAAAGACTCCAGCAAGAAGTCCAGCAAAAAGAAGTTCAAAGCAAAACTCCTCAAGAAGCTCTTGGACCAACTTGACTCAGACAGTGACTCATCGTCTTCCCAAGGATCTTTCACAACAGATCTCCCTCCAGGATATGCTCAGGATCCGTATGAAGGAATGGAAGATTTTGATGTTGATGATCTCACTCCTGACCTTGCACTCCCGTGAATTATGATTTACATAAAGTGGCTTCAATCACTACTTTCTTCAAAAGAGAAAGAAAAGCTGTCCACTCTGTGTAAAAATAATATCACAAGTCTGCATAGGATCCCCTTTCCTAAAAGCAGGATTCTCACAGACAAATGCAGGGCCCATAATCTGCTTTTCCACCGAAAGATGGATTCTCAGGACAAACAGACAAGACCCACTAGTCCCTTCAGTATGTCCTAGTTACCCGGGTAAAAGAATTTTACTCCACTTTTCAGCCGAAAGCAAGAAAGTGAATTTACTTTACCCTGAGTAAAAGAGAAAGGCAGAATGATTGCACAAGGAGAATCCGGAGTCCCCTACCTCTATATAAGGCAGCTCCCTCTCCTCAGAAAAACCAAGTTTTTGAACTTCAGACTCTAGTCTGGTTTGANTTCAGACACTCTCTCTAGTCTGGTTTGAGAACTACATTACAAGCCACTAATACTTGTAAACCTACCCCTCACTTGTAAAGCCTTCTTTAATAATGCAAAAGAAGAGCTGTATTACCGCTTATTTCCACTAGACCATTAGTTCTAGTGTTGTAAGTATTTATTTTCTTATTGAAATATTTCTTTGTTTATCAAGTTTCTTCTCATCTTATGAATTCCGATCTGAATTATCTACTCATTTTAAAATCTGAATTGTTATCAAATTTTAAATTTATATGTAAGTATGACCACACTATACATACCCCCTAATCTGGCTCCAATTTCTCTCAACTTCTCGCCTAAGATCCCTTTCTGCCAACTCTAGGACTTACACTTGGGACAAGAAAAGGCTTACGTGCTCTTGAGTGTCTGGATTAAGGTTGGGTGATAGGGTAAGATCTACTTACAAATGAATTTGAAAGATGAAACAGATAAAGATTTCAAAGTATATATATAATACACTTTTACACAATTAAAGCATGCTTGCTTAATTCCAATATTATTTTAAAATATTCATAATAAGTAATATTGACATAAATTTTGGTTCTATTANCGTGCTCTTGAGTGTCTGGATTAAGGTTGGGTGATAGGGTAAGATCTACTTACAAATGAATTTGAAAGATGAAACAGATAAAGATTTCAAAGTATATATATAATACACTTTTACACAATTAAAGCATGCTTGCTTAATTCCAAAATTATTTTAAAATATTCATAATAAGTAATATTGACATAAATTTTGGTTCTATTGATATAGTCTTACGAAATATTAGATCACTATAAGGGATCAAATTTGAGATGATTGAGGGTATTTTAGTCCACTCATTTTAATACCATTAAATAAATTACTTAACCAAACATTATATTGGACTTGATACTTATTATCCAACTTTTAATACCATTCTTAACAAATGCTTGACTAGAATTGGTATTTTCTTTATCCCATATTTANAATAAATTACTTAACCAAACATTATATTGGACTTGATACTTATTATCCAACTTTTAATACCATTCTTAACAAATGCTTGACTAGAATTGGTATTTTCTTTATCCCATCTTAGTTTTTATCTATCTAATCTAGGATTGTCATGTATTCCCTGGTACAATCACTCTTTTCTTAATACAACATCCAAATGACTCCTCAAAAGAGATCCATCAGGAATCACAAAATAGAGTTATACTGTATTCAGATCTAGAATCGGGTAAAGAGTCAAAAATTATATATTTATGTTGTAATAAAATCCAAAATATTTGATATTTAAATCGGTTCCAAAAGATGATTTGGGTATCAACCCAAAAATATCACAAGTGTAGAAATCACGATTCATCGACAAAAAACTCAATTTAACCCCCCATGGATAATGAAAACTAATATTTAGCATTATATAATCAATGTAGGTTTGATATGGAACTCCAAAATATGCATGAGATGTATCAATGACAGTTAAAAAGAAAAGAAACCCTGCCTTTGATTTTACCTCGAATTGAAACCATATGCTATGTCAAAACAAAATGGAGGAATATTTTAGAGTAATTATAAAACTAAGTTATTATGATCTATTTTATCCCACATTAATTTTTGGGTTGATAATAAAAAATTATGGTGTCCGAATTTAATCCGAAAATACTTAACGATCATCAAATTCAACTAATTGCTCGTCAAATTGAATTGACATAGTTGTTAATTCATAACCCAAAAACCTTATCTAAATTTTTGATTGCAAAATCAAACTCCTACTTTGACAAAATTTTAGCAATTTTCTTCCTCTTTCCCCTTTTCTCTTCCATCTTCTCTCTTTTTCTTTTTGTTTTTGTTTTTGTTCCTATTAGTTTGCCAATTGATCAGAGAGGCTCTATTTATAGAGTGAATATGGTGTTTGGGGGTGGGGGGGGGGTCAAGAGCCTTGGGCCCCAAGCTCCCTAGGTGTCATGTGCCTTAGCACATATAGTGATGCACGTACAACATTACCATGGACACTTGTCCACTTTTTTGTCCAATGATTTTTTTTTTTATTTGGTGTTTGTTTTTATCTTGTTTCCTGATTAACAAACTCCTCTCTTTTTATTTTTCTTTTTCTTTGTTTAACAGTTGACACACACTTGCATGCACATTACACAGTTTAGATACTTGAACATTTAAAATACTAATTTTCTTCCAACATGAAATATGACCAATGTCATTGTCATTTGTCTCATTTCCATGCAAGGAATTTATTTTTGAGGTCCATTTAATTATTTAAAATTTTCAAAAACACGGCTTCCCTAGGTGTCATGTGCCTTAGCACATATAGTGATGCACGTACAACATTACCATGGACACTTGTCCACTTTTTTGTCCAATGATTTTTTTTTTATTTGGTGTTTGTGTTTATCTTGTTTCCTGATTAACAAACTCCTCTCTTTTTATTTTTCTTTTTCTTTGTTTAACAGTTGACACACACTTGCATGCACATTACACAGTTTAGATACTTGAACATTTAAAATACTAATTTTCTTCCAACATGAAATATGACCAATGTCATTGTCATTTGTCTCATTTCCATGCAAGGAATTTATTTTTGAGGTCCATTTAATTATTTAAAATTTTCAAAAACACGGCTTCATATATTTATGCCCCCGATCACATTAAATCATAGTTTTGCGTTCTAATTAATATCATTAGGGACTAATTTTTTTGTACGGGTCATTACATTAGGCAGACAAAAAATCAGGATGAACTGAGCCTCAATGAATCGATTCTGCATAAACCCACGCTAGGAAGTACGAACACTTCATTTTGGGTAGAGTGTCGGTCCCAGAAAAATCAGGATGAAATGAGCCTCAATGAATCGATTCTGCATAAACCCACGCTAGGAAGTACGAACACTTCATTTTGGGCAAAGTGTCGGTGTCAGACATGTCTGGGACACGGACAAGTGTTAGACACGTTAAAATGAGTGTCCGATTTTTTATTGTTAAATTTTTTTTAAGATACGTTCAGGACATGCTTGGGGGACACGTTTTAAGATTTATTTTTAATTTTTTTGAGAACTTTTTAGATAATTTTATAATTAAGAGTTATTTTTATAATTTTAAAGGGATATGAGTCACAATCATAATATAAAAGAAGTTATAATCATTACATTGAACATAGGACATGAATTTAATATAATTTTGGATATGAAAACGAACTTATATACAAATGGAATAGTCTTTAATATGAAAGTAATGTGAGAAAAAATGGGATTACAAAATTGGAGATCTTGGAATTTGATGAAAATTAGTATTATGAAATTGAATATTTTTTAAAGTAAAAGTTGTAAAAGCCATTGATTATTGAATCATGGATGTTAATGTTGAATGTGTATCAGTATATCTTATATTATACTTTTCATGCAATGATATCATGATGTAAATTTTTAAAATTAGGAAAATAATGAATTAAAAGATTATTATGATAATATTTTTATTTTATCACATGATTTTATATAAATATATATAAAATATATATTATTTAATGTATCGCTAACGTGTCCGTGTTCTACTTTTTTGAAAACTTTTGTGTCAGCGTGTCCGTGTCGTGTCGTGTCTTATCCGTGTCCGTGCTTTTTAGAGCCCACGTGATTGTACTAATATACCAATTCCAACTACTAGGTTGCCACTATAACGATTTTTCTAATATAGACATATACTAATTTATATATATATATATATATATATATATATATATATATATATATATCATTTTGGTTCTTACCACAAATGCATTAAAGCTTTCTTGGTTATAAATCATGACTTTCAGGAGTCCATATTGGAGGCTCCTTCTTTTGATGATCAATCACTTGAGGCTGATCAGAAAGAGGAGGGAGAGATTAAGCATGAAACTCTGACGAAACACACTGCAGAAATGATGGATTTACAACTGGAGTTGGATATACTGAAAATTATACTCAAAGAAGAGAAGTCAGCTCGTGGAGAAGTGGAAGAAAGGGCAAAATGCTTAAACAGGGACTTTGAAATGGCAGAAGGAAAGGCCATGTTGTTAGCCAGACAATGTGAAGATGTGAAGGAAGAACTCAAGGAAGCAAAATCCATTGTCGAAGCTCTTGAGTCACAACAAATTCTATCAATTAATGAGATAGAGGAACTTAGAAATCGAAACAGCCACTATGCAGAGCTCTTGTGCAAACAGGAGCTTGAAATTTCTTCATTAAAAAAGCAAAGCGGTTGTCAAGAGTTAAGAGATCTCCCGTCTTTCAAGCATTCAGAAGGTGAAGATTCCCCTTTACAAGCAAAGTTGAAGAAAATGCAAGATTCTCTTGAAAAGGCCAAAAGACTAAATGTGTGGTACCAAAGTGATCGTGTGTTTCATGCATCTAATGAGGAAGAAATGGAGGAAGTTCGTAGGCAGGTTGAAGCTGAAACTGCCGAGGTAATTGTTTGCTTGCAGGAAGAACTTGCTATACTTCAGCAACAAGTGCAGGATAATAACGTGAAGGAGATGGAGTCCAACAAGAGGCTGGTGCTATCACAAACTGAATTGAAGGAGCTGCAGGAAAAATCACATCTGATGGCCCAAGATAACAAGAAATTAGTCGAAATCCTAGAAGAAAAAGATGAAGAGTTACGAGTATTATCCGAAGAGTGGGAACTTTTGACCAGTGAGATTGAAGTTGTCCTTTCTGGTGGTCATGACGCCCTTAAAGATGCCTCTGATCAGCTTGATGTTATTTGCAGTTCCTTACCACAGAAAAGAACTTGGATTTCTGAACAGTTAGGCAGGGTGACAAAATGCATTTCTGAAAAGGAGATTTTGATTGAGGAGCTCAACCGGTGTTTAGAGGAAGCAAACAATAGAAGAAATGACATGGAGTGCATGCTGAGGTCTTTGAGAGGGGCTGCATTGGTTATCACTGAAGCACACCAGCAAGAGAGCAATGAAAAGGATAAAGAAATATTCCTTTTGACAACTGAGTTGAGTTGTAAAACATCTGCCACTTCAGAGCTGGAGAGCAGGATTAGGCATGGGGAGGAACAACTTAGAAAAGCTTCAACTTGTGCAACTGTTGCTTTTGTGATTATTAACAGATTGTCTGAGCTTAATCGTCATCATTGTGATGAGTTAAAGCATAAGGAAATCCAACTCAATGAATCAATTGGAAAAATTATGCAGAAGGATGCTGTTCTCCATAATGAAACTGTGGTAATTGATGAAGCAGAGAAACAGATTCAGTCTCTCCGAATGAAACTAGAAGTATCAGAGGAAAGTTGTGGTAACCCAAGGCTGCAACTTTCTGAAGAGCAGAAACAAACAACTGCTATGGGGCTGAAGCTTCAAGAAATGGAAGAAAATAATATCTTGGAAACGAGGGAGAAACTAACTGAATTACAAACAGGTGTTTCAATGCTAAAATCATGCATTAATAAGTGTGCGGAGTGTGATGGAAGTCCTGAGAAACATGATGATGCTAAAAGTCTTGCTTGTATTCATGTTGATGACAAATGTGAGACACGGGTAAGCTAATGTTCTTGCTTTAAATAGAAAGCCTAGAAAATTTTGTCAATTCACTTTATATTTTGTTCATGCATGGTGTTTTTCAGCTGTTGTAAATGTACTGATCAAATTGTACGGATATTGTTGCAGACAGGTACCAGAACAAATCACGGAATCAGCAGCATAGAATCACGTGCTGTTGGGAACATGAGACCTGAGGTTTCAGTGTCTTCTTTTGAAGGAAGCAAGAATATTCCCGAATATTCAAGTGAGCAGAATAAATGCATACATGGAAGGACTTTGAAGGGTGTGAATGATAGAGATGGTACCATTGTTCTTTTAAAAAATGAAATACAATCTGCCCTTGAAAGTTTGAAAGGAGTGCAAGCTGAGATCGCAAAACTACGTGATGAGAAAGAACAGGTCTGGAATTCTGAAAAGCAGAGTCGGGAGAATATTGAATCTCTAGTAACCCAGGCACTTTCGTTACAATATGCTATGGGTAGCTTTCAAGAGGAATTTGAACTCAAAATGGTTTCTTTGGAACATAAGATGCGGGGAGTTCAAGAAAATGTGCAAGAAGCTGGCACTTCCTGGCTCCAGAAAAATGAGGTAGGCAAGCCACTACAATTCTAATTTTATGTTACTAAACATTACTGCATGGCACTCTGCTATGAGGTTGGAACTTTTTCCAATAGCATACAATTTTCTTTTGTAATACTAGATCCCGGCAATAACAAATTCCAGATTGTCTTGTATTTAAAATCCAACTACAGCATGAACACTCTGCAGCCTATAAGAATGAATATAAATACAAAGGTCCACCTCTGGCATATTGTCTTTGCCCCAAAGCCTAACTGTAGTTTTTGTGTTTTGCCCTTTTTCCTAATCATCACAGTTATTCGAGCTAGAACTTGGTGAAGCACAAGTGGTTGCAGCTCAGAAAACAGCAGAAGCTTCTTTTATTTTGGCTAAATATGAAGAGGCCCAAGACACCATGAAAGAAGCAGATATTATGATAAATGAGTTGGTAATAGCAAATGAAACTATGAAGCTTGAGCTTGAAGGACTAAAGAAAAAGGAGGTTACCTTTATCAATGAAAGGGACATTCTAAGCAACGAGGTTCAGAGCTTGCAATTTGAAAAAAGTGAGAAGGATTGGCATCATGAAAACCTTCAAAAAGAGCTTGAATCAGATATTATGGGAATGAAGACACTGGTCCAGGAGCTCGAGTGTACAGTTTCGCAAGTCCAGACAACTATCAAGGAAGATTTTATGTCTATGGCCTCTGATTTCTTCTGCGTAAAGTCTCAGCTTTATGACTCAACTAAGTTGATGCGGTCATGTCTTGAAGATATTTGGTCTGAGATTATTGTTAAGGATTGTGCTATGTCAGTGTTACACCTTTGTCACATGGGCATACTTCTGGAAACAGTAACTGGGTTGAATGCAGAAAATGGTTTACTTCTTCATGGACAGTGTGAATCAAGCTCTATTATATCTGAGTTAAGGGAGCACAATTTTAAATCTAGAAGAGAGCTAGAAATGTGTAGAATCCTGAAGGGGAAACTTCTGACTGACATCAAGAACAGTTTCGATCGTATCTCAAGGCAAGAAGATGAAACTGGGGAGCTCAATGTCAAACTAACCACTTATGAAAAGAAAATATTAGATCTACAGCTTCAAGAGGAGGTAATGTTGCAAAGGTCTAATAATATGGGATCTGAGCTTGCTGTGCTAATGAAGGAGTTGGATTTAAGCAACAGAAATGTTTTGGCATCCCTTGTGGATCAAGAAAAATTGGTGAAGGGTAAAAACGAACTCTTAAAATCTCAGGAGGAGCTTTTTGTGTTGGAATTGATTTCAAAAGACATTGAGTTGCTTATCTTGGCATCAGAGTTGGAACAGATGGCTGTTCAAAACACTAATGTGCAGAAAGAGCATGTAATTCTTTGTACATTATTTGAGGACTTCAAGACTGATATTATTTTACTCAAAGTGGATGCAGAGTTGAAAGAATGCATCTTGCAAGACAAGGAAGTTGAGGTTGTTTCTTTGCAGGAAGAAGTTGAACAAGCTCAGAGGGAGCAGCAGAATTTGATTTCACTGATCGACCAAAGGAAGTTGGAAATTTCCCAGATGGATGAAGTAAACAAATCTCTTGAGCAGGATATTAAGTTGCTCAAAGATTTTGCTTGTTCAAATTATGCTTTGAAGGTTGAACTTGATGAAGTGATGGAAGTAAAGATGAATCTGTTATCTCAGTTCCAAAAACTTGAATCTGAATATAACAAATTAATAGAAGAAATGAAGAGGAAGGAACAAGGTCTCGAAATTTCTTCTAGTTGTATCTCTGGCCTTGATCAACAGAACCAAAAATTGCAGAATGACATTTGCTTACTGGAACAATCATCAAGCAAACTCCAAAAAGAGTTGGACCTGAAAGATTCAGAGTTTGGAAAAATGAGCTTGCTTGAGGAGAAGAACGAGTCCCTGGAATGCGAGGTAAGAAAGATACAGGCAGAATACTGTATAGTTCTTCAAAACTTGGAGGAGAAAAATTCTGAGCTTGAATCATCTTTAAGAAACAAAAATGTGAGTGAAATGGAGAATCATAGATTGCACGAACAAATTGTTTCCTTGGAGAATTGCATTGCCAATTTACAGGTTGATCTTGATTCAGTAAATGTGGAACTCAATGAACTCCGACTAAATCAGTTGGACCTGAAAGATTCAGAGTTTGGAAAAATGAGCTTGCTTGAGGAGAAGAACGAGTCCCTGGAATGCGAGGTAAGAAAGATACAGGCAGAATACTGTATAGTTCTTCAAAACTTGGAGGAGAAAAATTCTGAGCTTGAATCATCTTTAAGAAACAAAAATGTGAGTGAAATGGAGAATCATAGATTGCACGAACAAATTGTTTCCTTGGAGAATTGCATTGCCAATTTACAGGTTGATCTTGATTCAGTAAATGTGGAACTCAATGAACTCCGACTAAATCAGTTGGACCTGAAAGATTCAGAGTTTGGAAAAATGAGCTTGCTTGAGGAGAAGAACGAGTCCCTGGAATGCGAGGTAAGAAAGATACAGGCAGAATACTGTATAGTTCTTCAAAACTTGGAGGAGAAAAATTCTGAGCTTGAATCATCTTTAAGAAACAAAAATGTGAGTGAAATGGAGAATCATAGATTGCACGAACAAATTGTTTCCTTGGAGAATTGCATTGCCAATTTACAGGTTGATCTTGATTCAGTAAATGTGGAACTCAATGAACTCCGACTAAATCAGTTGGACCTGAAAGATTCAGAGTTTGGAAAAATGAGCTTGCTTGAGGAGAAGAACGAGTCCCTGGAATGCGAGGTAAGAAAGATACAGGCAGAATACTGTATAGTTCTTCAAAACTTGGAGGAGAAAAATTCTGAGCTTGAATCATCTTTAAGAAACAAAAATGTGAGTGAAATGGAGAATCATAGATTGCACGAACAAATTGTTTCCTTGGAGAATTGCATTGCCAATTTACAGGTTGATCTTGATTCAGTAAATGTGGAACTCAATGAACTCCGACTAAATCAGTTTTCAGTTAAGGAAGAGTTGTGCTCAAAAGGCCATGAGTTGCAAGTCCATGTTGATACTTTGAAGGAAGATAATGTTTGCTTGAGAAGTGAACTTCGATCTTGTGAGAAGAATAATTATGAAGTTCTCACAACTTTGAATTCAAAGACAACGAGGAGTGTAAATTCCATGAACGCTGTAGATATGGGGAGCAGCAAAATATTTAATCTATTGAGTGGAGAAAGTGTTGCACTAGAACAAATATTTGGCGACATACAAAAAAATGTGGAAAGGACATCCAAATTCATAGAAGAGATTGAGTGCTTGGAAAATCTTGCTGAAGAGCTGATATCCGAAAATCTGTCTCTTCAAACTGAGTTGTCAAGGAAGGATGACATTTTAGAAGGATTATCATTTGATTTGAGATTGCTTCAGGAGTCTGCATCTAATATTAAGGACCAAAAAGATGAAATTGAAGAATTGGTGGTCTCTTTAGAGGCTATAGAACATGAGCTTGCCGTAAGATCACATGAGCTCAATGAAGCTGTTGCTAGAGGCCAATTACTTGAATCTCAGTTGCAGGAAAAGATGGGCATTATCTCCACCCTTGAGTTGGATGTTTCAAAAGAACGAGGTTTTGTAAAATCTCTCTCCTGTAAGAACCATGAGCTGACAACCGACATTGACGATGCCTTAGAAGCAAAACGGTCTGTGGAGAAGGAACTAACGGAAAGAAGGAAGACAAACGAGTGCTTAGAAATTGAGCTTGTTGAAATGGGAACAGCTCTGAGCCAAATGAACAATTTGTTTGAATCCTTGACAAGCAATTTGAATGCAATTACTTGTGAAAGGGATGAACTCCAAGCAGAAATTTTGATTTTGAAGAAGGAGTTGGAGATGGCACAAGCTCTTGCTGAAGAAAATGAAGCAATTGCTGTAGAGGCACGACAGGTACATTCTGATTTGGCACGCAAAACAACTTTTAAATGGTGAGGTAATTGCTATTGCAAACCTCATGTTAAATTGATTTTTGTGCGGTCATGTTAGGTAGCTCAAACCACAAAAAATTATGCTGAAGACAAGGAAGAGGAGGTGAAACTATTAGAGAGGTCTGTGGAAGAGCTAGAAAGCACTGTGGATGTGCTAGAAAGCAAGGTGAATGCTTAGTCAGTCTTTCATTTTTTTTCACCGCTTTAACTTTTATATTCGTTTTATGAAACACTTTTCACCTTTGGAAGGTTGACATTGTCAAAGGAGAAGCTGAGCGTCAACGGTTGCAAAGAGAAGAGCTAGAATTGGAGCTTCATGCTGTAAAAGAGCAGATGCAGAAGGTCAAAAGTACTGATGCTGACATGGAAAGGTTTGAAGATAAGTTAATCAAAGTAAATGGAATTGAAGCAAACATGCTGATCACTGCATAATAAGCCAGTCTATAACATTTTTACCAACAGGTTTGCCGACGAGAGAGAGAAAAACCTTCAGGAAGCTGTTCAGCGAATTCATCTACTTGAAAAGGAAATAGCTGCCAGGGATGCAGAGGTGAAGTTCAATCCTTGAATTTTTTTTTGCTTTTGTTCATATCATAAAAAACACGATGGTTTAACTAAGTTTGCTAAAGTGATCTCAATCATTCTTTCAAGGGTTTCCAGCATTTGGGCTTTATGCTTTTGTTGTTACTGAACAGATTGCCCAATGTAAAACACATATCTCTGAGCTAACTTTGCATGCGGAGGCACAGGCTTGCGAATACAAGCAAAAGGTAGGCTAAGATGTATAATCCAAAGAGAGTTTTTTTGTTTATGAAGATCTTGGCTGACACTAATGGGAATAAGGGGATGAAACTTCTCTTTTTTTTCCCACTTTTTCTCAAATCTAACTATTGTCTTGTGAAATAGTTCAAAGCATTGGAAGCTATGGCTGAGCAAGTCAAACCTGAGGGCCAAACTATCCATGTGACAAATTCGTCAACGAACAAATCAGAGAAAAATGGCTCAAAGTCGAGGGGTTCTGGTTCGCCTTTCAAATGCATTGGACTGGGTTTGGTCCAACAAATAAAGTCCGAGAGGGAAGAGGAACTCACTGCTGGCAGATATCGTATTGAAGAGCTTGAAGCCTTAGCTGCAAGTCGGCAAAAAGAGGTAGGATTGGTGCATTGAGGATCTTGCTACTATCTTTTCTGATAATAACAATCTGTATGGATAACGGGTTCATGTTCTGTTCCAGATATTCATCTTGAATGCAAGATTAGCTGCTTCAGAGAGTATGACCCATGATGTTATTCGCGATTTGTTGGGATTGAAGCTGGATATGAACAGTTATGCGGTACATTTGTGAAGTTCTACTCATTCTCTTTTTCCCATCATTTTGATTGATATATTTCATATTTTAGTGTTCTGTTAGAATCAAATGTCAAAGATGTTACGTCATACACTTAGAAAATGCATGTTAAAGTTAATGTGGCCATGCTGAACAATAACCATTTCAATGACGAATCTATCCCCAACTCTACATGGTTAGGTTGATCTTTATTTATCTGTTTTTTTATTTCTAAATGCTAGTCTTTGCTGGATGATTATCAACTGCAAAAGATAGCTGAAATGGCTCAACTTCAGAATGTTGAAGGCCAAGTTAAGGTACACTCCAAACATTGAATCTGAACGGGGTCTGGATGTCATTTTTGTGTCTGTCATCTTGAATGCAATCCTTCATGTAGGATCAGGAGGTGATCAAGCTAAAGCAGAAGCTGGACGAGTTTGTTGAGGAGAGGAGAGGGTAAGCAAATGCTTCGTTGTCTTGAAGTTTGAGGAAGTTATTGGTTTTAAGTTTTTGGAATGGCTAAGCTGTTATGTCATCTTATATTAGATGGCTAGAGGAAATTGACAAAAAGCAGGCTGAGATGGTGGCAGCAAAATTTGCACTGGAAAAACTTCATCACCGAGATCGGTTACTAACAACTGAAAATGAAATGCTCAAGGTTAAATTTTGTTGTCATTTTAAGTTTCTAGATACAAAATGGAACTTCTGTTGATGCTGTTTGTTTGGCCTAACTATTGATTTTTTTTTTCTTCCGGTGGATTACTTAACTACTTTATTTTGTTTAGATGGAAAATGCTAATTCCAAGAATACAGTCATGGAACTTGAAGCTGAAATAAAGAAATTATCCGGCCAGCAAAACCTCCAGCAACGTATTCATCATCATGCCAAAATTAAGGCAAGATGTCACTAAGCTAAATTTGGAAGTTCTACACTCTTGCTGATTTTTAATGAATTATTAGTTAGATTTATGAACTTGGCTCAGGCATTTTTTGAGTTCGTGTTTGGTGGTATTTGTCACAACCCAATATCAATAACGTTAGTACACTAGTCACTTTTGTTTCTGCACTAAAGCTCATCCGGCCAGCAAAACCTCCAGCAACATATTCATCATCATGCCAAATTAAGGCAAGATGTCAGCAGTATCGAAGCTAATTTTGGAAGTTCTACACTCTTGCTGATTTTTAGTGAATTATTAGTTAGATATATGAACTTGGCTCAGACATTTTTTTTGAGTTCGTGTTTGGTGGTCTTTGTCTCAACCCAATATCAATAAAGTTAGTACACTTGTCACTTTTTACACACTAAAGCTCAGCCCAAGGTTCTACTAAATGTGACAGGAGGAAAATAATTTGCTGAAAATCCAGAATGAAGAGCTTAGTAGTAAGCTTCGACGGACAGAGGGTATTGTTCAACGTGTCAAGGAGGAACTTGCACACTTTCGTGCAGCCAATGGAAAAAACCCCTACATCAATTTGGATGATGAGCAACGATTGAACGACAAACTGAAGGTTAGTTTGATTGGTGACAGATATTTGGCCTCAGAGAGAGAGAGAGAGATGATGCTGATGACCTAACTCTTATTCCTCTGCCACAGGAGACTGAAGAGGAAAGGCTGCAACTAGCACAAAAGTTATTAGGCCTTTGTATCAGCATTTTAAAGGTTAGTGTAAGTTGGTTTCCCAGTATGGTTTATTGCTCTCAAAATAAAAAATCTAGGACCATAACTTACAGTCCAACCAAGCTAATGGGGTTCCCTTCACCTCATCTCATTTATTTAACTGAATTACAGGCTGCTGGAATAACACCACAAGCATATGATGTAAACCTCTCTATGGCTGAAGAAGCACTTGAGCAGCTCAAGCATCGGGTCAATTCCCTGGAAAGAGAATTGCAAGATGAGAAATTTAAGGTAATGAAATCACTTCCTTTTTATTTGGATGGTAATTATGATAAAGCTTTTGTTTTTCCCCTTGTTTTTCTGGGAATTTGTATTTTCTGTGGACTAAATTAGGCAAATTATACTAATGGTTCCCGAGGTTAGCCATTTAGCCCCTAAAGTTCAAACATTACTACAAGAGATTTGAACTTTGGTAACTAAATTAGCGAAATACTAAACTATGATGAGTGGCAAACCTCAAGAACCATCGGTGCAATTCACCCGGAGTAAATAATAGCTCAAGTGCTTTGTTGAAATTCTTTTTCAATGTAGTGCTTCTCAGGATCGGTACAATTACTTTCACAAACTGATGCTTTCAATTTTTATTTATTTTTGACAGAATAGAATTACCAATGAAAGAATCCGGTTGTCTGAGCTCAAGCCACAACCTTCTCCATTGAGCTCAAGGGGAGACGAGACACGTCAAACTCCAAATAGACAGTCTCAAACTCCATTTCTTTCTGCTTTAGATCGATGAGGCCCATTAAAATTTATATGGCAGATTGGTTCAAGTGTATGGTTAGCTTTTTGCTAGCAGTTCTGCTTATTAGTTTCCTCTTTCTTTTTCTTTTTTTGACTTGTTGATATGTAATCCATTCTTTTGTGTTTTGTATATACTCCTATATATAAACTTCAATAGAATCAGTAAATGTCATTTTTTCCAAATATGCACGTGTAAATGTGGTTGAGGTTGTAAGTTTAAGTTTCATGAAAGATGTATCGTCGTTATGAGATATGATTGACAGCACTTCCCAAACTTATGTATCATTTGTGGGTCCAAAATGTGGTTGGGATGGTTCTCTTGAGATACACTACCACTCTAACATATGCTTCCCTTTTTTACATCCTATATCTTTGACAGATTACTTAGCAAAAATTAGCGGTAGCTGGGCTGAATCTTATAAATTCATTAGGGGTGGTGGAGCGAGCTGGATTTTGTAGCTGGAATCAATCCCTTGCTTGGTCATAGCTTTAGGGCCTCATTCAGAAAGAACCAGTCTAGAAGATCAGAAAGAAAGTAATTGCTATGTCTCTAACATATGCTTCCCTTCATAGAAGATCAAAAAGAAAGCAATTGTTATGTCTCTAACATATGTTTCCCTTCATAATGTAATGCTTCCCTTTTTCACATCCTATATCTTTGACAGATTGCTTAGCCCTTGGCCCATGTTTGGTGGTGCAAGAATGATCAATTAGTGAGTTATTACATTTTTTTAAAGGGCGGTTGCGTTATAGATAAATCTTCTATTTCTATTTTTGTAAGCATACACCGATTAAATAAATTGACTATAAACTTATAATTAAAGTAAGGGTGAATCACATTTTATACGTTGAAAGATTTCAAAATTCATAATTTGTACTCTCAATGATTAATTTTCTTAAGGATGAATCACATTTTCTCTATTTGTACTCTCAATATCATAAAATAGTTACAATGCGAACCNAACTTATGTATCATTTGTGGGTCCAAAATGTGGTTGGGATGGTTCTCTTGAGATACACTACCACTCTAGCATATGCTTCCCTTTTTTACATCCTATATCTTTGACAGATTACTTAGCAANGCACTTCCCAAACTTATGTATCATTTGTGGGTCCAAAATGTGGTTGGGATGGTTCTCTTGAGATACACTACCACTCTAACATATGCTTCCCTTTTTTACATCCTATATCTTTGACAGATTACTTAGCAAAAATTAGCGGTAGCTGGGCTGAATCTTATAAATTCATTAGGGGTGGTGGAGCGAGCTGGATTTTGTAGCTGGAATCAATCCCTTGCTTGGTCATAGCTTTAGGGCCTCATTCAGAAAGAACCAGTCTAGAAGATCAGAAAGAAAGTAATTGCTATGTCTCTAACATATGCTTCCCTTCATAGAAGATCAAAAAGAAAGCAATTGTTATGTCTCTAACATATGTTTCCCTTCATAATGTAATGCTTCCCTTTTTCACATCCTATATCTTTGACAGATTGCTTAGCCCTTGGCCCATGTTTGGTGGTGCAAGAATGATCAATTAGTGAGTTATTACATTTTTTTAAAGGGCGGTTGCGTTATAGATAAATCTTCTATTTCTATTTTTGTAAGCATACACCGATTAAATAAATTGACTATAAACTTATAATTAAAGTAAGGGTGAATCACATTTTATACGTTGAAAGATTTCAAAATTCATAATTTGTACTCTCAATGATTAATTTTCTTAAGGATGAATCACATTTTCTCTATTTGTACTCTCAATATCATAAAATAGTTACAATGCGAACCTCACATTAATTTTCGTTATCATTTTTTTCAAATCTTACTATAGTAAGTGTAAGGGTCACTTAGCAAAATTGGCGAAAATTATAATGGAAGTTAGTTTGAGAGTTATATTCCAACTATTTTATGAAAAATAGGGTACAATGCAAAAAAAATAAAATAATTTTGTAGATGTGCAAATATAGAATTTAAAATTTCTTTAGGGTACAAAGTGTGATTTATACCCTCACCCCTTCTCTCTCAAGTAAATATTTAATACAACGGTGATAACACGTCAGTATTAGCATAAAGTATCACTAACCGATAATAAAACATTAAATAAAAAAATTGAACCCCATTTACNTATAAATTCATTAGGGGTGGTGGAGCGAGCTGGATTTTGTAGCTGGAATCAATCCCTTGCTTGGTCATAGCTTTAGGGCCTCATTCAGAAAGAACCAGTCTAGAAGATCAGAAAGAAAGTAATTGCTATGTCTCTAACATATGCTTCCCTTCATAGAAGATCAAAAAGAAAGCAATTGTTATGCCTCTAACATATGTTTCCCTTCATAATGTAATGCTTCCCTTTTTCACATCCTATATCTTTGACAGATTGCTTAGCCCTTGGCCCATGTTTGGTGGTGCAAGAATGATCAATTAGTGAGTTATTACATTTTTTTAAAGGGCGGTTGCGTTATAGATAAATCTTCTATTTCTATTTTTGTAAGCATACACCGATTAAATAAATTGACTATAAACTTATAATTAAAGTAAGGGTGAATCACATTTTATACGTTGAAAGATTTCAAAATTCATAATTTGTACTCTCAATGATTAATTTTCTTAAGGATGAATCACATTTTCTCTATTTGTACTCTCAATATCATAAAATAGTTACAATGCGAACCTCACATTAATTTTCGTTATCATTTTTTTCAAATCTTACTATAGTAAGTGTAAGGGTCACTTAGCAAAATTGGCGAAAATTATAATGGAAGTTAGTTTGAGAGTTATATTCCAACTATTTTATGAAAAATAGGGTACAATGCAAAAAAAATAAAATAATTTTGTAGATGTGCAAATATAGAATTTAAAATTTCTTTAGGGTACAAAGTGTGATTTATACCCTCACCCCTTCTCTCTCAAGTAAATATTTAATACAACGGTGATAACACGTCAGTATTAGCATAAAGTATCACTAACCGATAATAAAACATTAAATAAAAAAATTGAACCCCATTTACATAATTATTGACTTTATATGGAAGAAGAATTAATAGTTATTAATTGGACAAATTATACGGGCCTCTTTAAACTTAGAATCAGTTGTACATCACATCTCTTTACTATTATAGGTTGCACTTAACCCCCTCACACACAAATAAAGTGTAAAAATAACAGATTCTATCTAGTTTAAGGGAACTTGAAACACTTACTACGCAAGACATGTAAAATAATTACTTTAAGTAAAAAATTAAATGGACAAATATACTCTCAAATAAGCTTATTTTAAAAAAAAGAAAAAAAATCATAAATGGTAGTTGTTCCTCTCTCTCTCTCTCTCTCTCTCTCTCTCTCTCTCTCTCTCTCTCTTCCATGTATGTGTAAACCCTAATTGATGAATCGCCAGACCTAGGATAGAACATTGCTGCTATCGCACCATCGTCCAATTCTGGTGCACACCACCCTCNCCACCCTCGACCTCCGCACAACCAAGTTGTTTGTCAAATTTCACTGTGTGTATTACTGCAGGGTTGTGATGTCATACCAGTTTGTCTGAAGATGCTACAGCTCCAATTTGATNTTAAAGTAAGGGTGAATCACATTTTATACGTTGAAAGATTTCAAAATTCATAATTTGCACTCTCAATGATTAATTTTCTTAAGGATGAATCACATTTTCTCTATTTGTACTCTTAATATCATAAAATAGTTACAATGCGAACCTCACATTAATTTTCGTTATCATTTTTTTCAAATCTTACTATAGTAAGTGTAAGGGTCACTTAGCAAAATTGGCGAAAATTATAATGGAAGTTAGTTTGAGAGTTATATTCCAACTATTTTATGAAAAATAGGGTACAATGCAAAAAAAATAAAATTAATTTTGTAGATGTGCAAATATAGAATTTAAAATTTTTTTAGGGTACAAAGTGTGATTTATACCCTCACCCCTTCTCTCTCGAGTAAATATTTAATACAACGGTGATAACACGTCAGTATTAGCATAAAGTATCACTAACCGATAATAAAACATTAAATGAAAAAATTGAACCCCATTTAGATAATTATTGACTTTATATGGAAGAAGAATTAATAGTTATTAATTGGACAAATTATACGGGCCTCTTTAAACTTAGAATCAGTTGTACATTACATCTCTTAACTATTATAGGTTGCACTTAACCCCCTCATACACAAATAAAGTGTAAAAATAACAGATTCTATCTAGTTTAAGGGAACTTGGAACACACTTACTACGCAAGACATGTAAAATAATTACTTTAAGTAAAAAATTAAATGGACAAATATACTCTCAAATAAGCTTATTTTTAAAAGAAAGAAAAAAAAGTCATAAATGGTAGTTGTTCCTCTCTCTCTCTTTCTTCCATGTATGTGTAAACCTTAATTGATGAATCGCCAGACCTAGGATAGAACATTGCTGCTATCGCACCATCGTCCAATTCTGGTATCATTGTGGTGGGAAACAATCCAAATTGCATCGTATTTGGCATTACCAAATTTATAGAATTTAAATTTAAATCTTTGGTTCATTTGAATTCAGGGACTTGGAATATGAGATTGCTATGGGTTTGATTGTTATAGTTTATTTTGGATATTGACAGTTGAGTAGTGATGGGTGGATGTTGAAATTGATAGATTATTACAAGGAGTGCCTTAATGTGGTAGTAGGAGGCATGAGTAGTGTTGAGGAATTTTTGGAAAATGAATGGGAAGCAATATTTTAAGTTTTGATTCAACTAAATTTATAGATTTGAAGTCTGAAAATTATGAGGGTGTCATTGGCTTGGTTTGATTGTTGTCTTGTGTTTTTTGAATATTAGTAGTTGATAGTTGAGTGGTGCTGGATAAAAAATGAAATTGCTATGTTGTAACAACTTGGAGTGTATAATTGTGACGGGAGAAGGTGGGGGTGATGCGATGCTTATATTTTGTTGGAGTAAGTTGCATAAAAAATAAAATTTAAATAAAAAAGAAGGGTATTTTAGAAAAACTATTAACTATGTTATGATTTACACATTATTTTTTAGTACGAGGGAATTAAGTGCAATCAGTAATAATTCACGGAGTTAATATACAATTTTTTATCTTAAGTTCTATGTAATTTGCCCTTATTAATTTATGTAGAGTCTATTTTATTTATTTATTTATATTTTAGTTGTCTTGATAAAAAAAATTTATAATATAAAATAAAATAAATTTATCTGACGATCTCAAATAAAATCATTCAAAAAAAAACGTTATTAACATATATCTCAAAATTATTCACATTAAATTTTTTTCGCTCTAATCAATCAGTTTTCACCTGGACGAGTTATTTTAGTCTATATATAGTTATAATTATAATTTTATAATATAAAACAGAAAAAATTACAATAAATTCTAATAATTTCAAAAAAAATTATCTAACTGTCACTACCGTCCTTTCAAACCATGAGGCACAGTTTACTACTGCTATATTTATATTAGTTGCCACGTTAACGTGACATTGTATCGAATATTTTCTCGTCTGCTCCTCGTCACTCCGGACCCTNACATATGCTTCCCTTTTTTACATCCTATATCTTTGACAGATTACTTAGCAAAAATTAGCGGTAGCTGGGCTGAATCTTATAAATTCATTAGGGGTGGTGGAGCGAGCTGGATTTTGTAGCTGGAATCAATCCCTTGCTTGGTCATAGCTTTAGGGCCTCATTCAGAAAGAACCAGTCTAGAAGATCAGAAAGAAAGTAATTGCTATGTCTCTAACATATGCTTCCCTTCATAGAAGATCAAAAAGAAAGCAATTGTTATGTCTCTAACATATGTTTCCCTTCATAATGTAATGCTTCCCTTTTTCACATCCTATATCTTTGACAGATTGCTTAGCCCTTGGCCCATGTTTGGTGGTGCAAGAATGATCAATTAGTGAGTTATTACATTTTTTTAAAGGGCGGTTGCGTTATAGATAAATCTTCTATTTCTATTTTTGTAAGCATACACCGATTAAATAAATTGACTATAAACTTATAATTAAAGTAAGGGTGAATCACATTTTATACGTTGAAAGATTTCAAAATTCATAATTTGTACTCTCAATGATTAATTTTCTTAAGGATGAATCACATTTTCTCTATTTGTACTCTTAATATCATAAAATAGTTACAATGCGAACCTCACATTAATTTTCGTTATCATTTTTTTCAAATCTTACTATAGTAAGTGTAAGGGTCACTTAGCAAAATTGGCGAAAATTATAATGGAAGTTAGTTTGAGAGTTATATTCCAACTATTTTATGAAAAATAGGGTACAATGCAAAAAAAATAAAATTAATTTTGTAGATGTGCAAATATAGAATTTAAAATTTTTTTAGGGTACAAAGTGTGATTTATACCCTCACCCCTTCTCTCTCGAGTAAATATTTAATACAACGGTGATAACACGTCAGTATTAGCATAAAGTATCACTAACCGATAATAAAACATTAAATGAAAAAATTGAACCCCATTTAGATAATTATTGACTTTATATGGAAGAAGAATTAATAGTTATTAATTGGACAAATTATACGGGCCTCTTTAAACTTAGAATCAGTTGTACATTACATCTCTTAACTATTATAGGTTGCACTTAACCCCCTCATACACAAATAAAGTGTAAAAATAACAGATTCTATCTAGTTTAAGGGAACTTGGAACACACTTACTACGCAAGACATGTAAAATAATTACTTTAAGTAAAAAATTAAATGGACAAATATACTCTCAAATAAGCTTATTTTTAAAAGAAAGAAAAAAAAGTCATAAATGGTAGTTGTTCCTCTCTCTCTCTTTCTTCCATGTATGTGTAAACCTTAATTGATGAATCGCCAGACCTAGGATAGAACATTGCTGCTATCGCACCATCGTCCAATTCTGGTATCATTGTGGTGGGAAACAATCCAAATTGCATCGTATTTGGCATTACCAAATTTATAGAATTTAAATTTAAATCTTTGGTTCATTTGAATTCAGGGACTTGGAATATGAGATTGCTATGGGTTTGATTGTTATAGTTTATTTTGGATATTGACAGTTGAGTAGTGATGGGTGGATGTTGAAATTGATAGATTATTACAAGGAGTGCCTTAATGTGGTAGTAGGAGGCATGAGTAGTGTTGAGGAATTTTTGGAAAATGAATGGGAAGCAATATTTTAAGTTTTGATTCAACTAAATTTATAGATTTGAAGTCTGAAAATTATGAGGGTGTCATTGGCTTGGTTTGATTGTTGTCTTGTGTTTTTTGAATATTAGTAGTTGATAGTTGAGTGGTGCTGGATAAAAAATGAAATTGCTATGTTGTAACAACTTGGAGTGTATAATTGTGACGGGAGAAGGTGGGGGTGATGCTTATATTTTGTTGGAGTAAGTTGCATAAAAAATAAAATTTAAATAAAAAAGAAGGGTATTTTAGAAAAACTATTAACTATGTTATGATTTACACATTATTTTTTAGTACGAGGGAATTGAGTGCAATCAGTAATAATTCAGGGAGTTAATATACAATTTTTGATCTTAAGTTCTATGTAATTTGCCCTTATTAATTTATGTAGAGTCTATTTTATTTATTTATTTATTTATATTTTAGTTGTCTTGATAAAAAAATTTATAATATAAAATAAAATAAATTTATCTGACAATCTCAAATAAAATCATTTAAAAAAAAAACGTTATTAACATATATCTCAAAATTATTCACATTAAATTTTTTTCGCCCTAATCAATCAGTTTTCACCAGGATAACTTATTTTAGTCTATATATAGTTATAATTATAATTTTATAATATAAAACAGAAAAAATTACAATAAATTCTAATAATTTCAAAAAAAATTATCTAACTGTCACAACCGTCCTTTCAAACCATGAGGCACAGTTTACTACTGCTATATTTATATTAGTTGCCACGTTAACGTGACATTGTATCGAATATTTTCTCGTCTGCTCCTCGTCACTCCGGACCCTGTCTCTCTCTCTCTATCTCACACACACACACACACAAGCCCATCGCCGCCACCCTCGACCTCCGCACAACCAAGTTGTTTGTCAAATTTCACTGTGTGTATTACTTCAGGGTTGTGATGTCATACCAGTTTGTCTGAAGATGCTACAGCTCCAATTTGACTTGACATTGAACTTCCTCTTGAGATAGAGCAGCACTTATTTTACAAGTCTCTCTCTCTCTCTCTCTCTCTCTCCATTCTAGGGTATTGCTATCGACGTTGAAACCTTTCACACCAATTTCTCTGCCAAAATCCTTAATCCGAAAGCGCTGAGTTTGTGCGTCGTATTCTCAATAATAATAATAATAATAAAAAGATGGGTTCTTTCGCTGCATTCAGTTCGAGTTGTTATTTCGATCGAGGATGCTTTTGGAAGGTTAGTTGTGAACCCTTATACAGTGTCGTACTTGGCTTGTGTTTGGTCATTAGAAAGAATACTTAAAACTTCCTAGCAATTTTTTTATTCGCTTGTTTTGTTTAATTCTTTCTTCTCGGTTGCATTATTTTGGGATTTTATTATGGGGGATTTTCTGAACTGATTACAATTATTGTAGGATGAAATCAAGAATTCAAAGGTTCGAAAAATGTGTGTCAGAGCCTCGGTGGCCTCGACGCCACAAAGCTTCAAGCTTGCGGATATTCAAGCTCAGAAGTCAGAGAAGGCCATTAGAATTGGTGTTCTTGGAGCCAGTGGTTACACTNTGTGAACCCTTATACAGTGTCGTACTTGGCTTGTGTTTGGTCATTAGAAAGAATACTTAAAACTTCCTAGCAATTTTTTTATTCGCTTGTTTTGTTTAATTCTTTCTTCTCGGTTGCATTATTTTGGGATTTTATTATGGGGGATTTTCTGAACTGATTACAATTATTGTAGGATGAAATCAAGAATTCAAAGGTTCGAAAAATGTGTGTCAGAGCCTCGGTGGCCTCGACGCCACAAAGCTTCAAGGTTGCGGATATCCAAGCTCAGAAGTCAGAGAAGGCCATTAGAATTGGTGTTCTTGGAGCCAGTGGTTACACGNCTCAGGGTTATAATGATATCTTTCTATGTAAGAATGTCCTTTGTACAGGTTTGAATTTTTGGTTTCCCATCAAATTGACTTCTCTGACTAAGAACTGCTTTTTTGTAACTCTATAGTTGCTTAAGCTCATCATTCCTACTACTGCCTATGGGTTAAGAGTCATCACATGACAATTTATTGACACGTGTTTGTGGTTTGCNAATTGTCAAAAAGCCTGCTGCTACTAGTTCGGTTTTTTTCTAAACAATGAAGTATTTTTGGACATTCAATTTAGCTCAGGGTTATAATGATATCTTTCTATGTAAGAATGTCCTTTGTACAGGTTTGAATTATTGGTTTCCCATCAAATTGACTTCTCTGACTAAGAACTGCTTTTTTGTAACTCTATAGATGCTTAAGCTCATCATTCCTACTACTGCCTATGGGTTAAGAGTCATCACATGACAATTTATTGACACGTGTTTGTGGTTTGCAGATCTTGTTACGTAGCAACAAAAATGCCTTTTCCACTCTAGTAGTTGTAATTTACTGGCATGCTCCTTCGTTGTTCAATTATTGTTGTGGTTATCGTTGTGGTCATCATCATTGCCCCACCCACCTACCCACTCCCCTTGCATTTTAAAGATTGAGGAATTTGGCTATAGCTTGATTTCATCTTCTAGGAAATCAGGGAACTCAAGTCTTTGGAGTCGGGCAATGTAAGGAAGCCATTAATATGCTGGGCAGCTGAGTAAATTTTGATACAGTGCTAAGAAAATGTAAAAGGAACATATTTCAAATACATCTATGCTGTTATTGGTATATCTTAATTCGCAGTGAGCAATGAAGATAGTGTGATATGGAAAGAACCCAATCACATTTTATAACTTATATATCAAAATTGAATTTTGTTAGTGCAAAATTGTTAGTTGTAGGACTATTTGCCTCNATACATCTATGCTGTTATTGGTATATCTTAATTCGCAGTGAGCAATGAAGATAGTGTGATACGGAAAGAACCCAATCACATTTTATAACTTATATATCAAAATTGAATTTTGTTATAGGACTATTTGCCTTGATATATTCATCTACCTGTTGTGGACTCTAGTGTGGCAATAAATATTAAGGAGTGCTATTGATATGTGGCTACACATAAATAATGTCATACTGAATTAGTTGGACATTTTATATGTATGTTGTAATATTTTCTGAGTTTTTGTTCTCTTACCGTGCTTTGCTGTTTCTTTTTTCGCTTGTGATTTCCATGGGATACTTTTTGTAATTGGAGATTGTGATACCTTGTTTGACTTTGTTCATGATTGCAGGATTTGCCAGATATGGTTGCTGTCAGTGATGCAGATTTTTCCAATGTGGATGCTGTGTTTTGTTGTTTGCCACATGGAACCACTCAGGTTCTTTGACAGTTCCCTGAGATCTTACTTATTCAAACAGCAACTTTGACCTGGCTAATCAGATTATTAGTTAATATGCACACACAGCCTTTTTAGCCTTGTTATTATGCACTTGCTATTTAGCCTTTACCTTATTGCATTTGCAGGAAATTATCAAAGGTCTTCCTAACAGGTTAAAGATTGTTGATCTTTCTGCGGTACTCTATCTCTGCACCATCGGTGGCTCTTCTTAGATGCATCCTCTAGGCATTGATGTGTTTTATGCATATCAACGCAATATTACTATTATGCAGGACTTCAGGCTGCGAGATATTGGTGAATATGAAGAATGGTATGATCAGCATCACAGGGCACCTGATCTGCAGGTCGAGTTGTACTTTGCTCTTTTGTTTACCTTTCTTTGTAGAAAAACTTTTGATGCATCATTCCTGATGAAGTTATGTTCCTCTTTATGAGTCATGCTTATAACCAAACATAGATGTTCTGCAGCATCATCCTTCAACTAGTTTGAAAATTGTTTTCTCTTTGCCCCTAATTAACATGGTTTCTTCTTTTTGTACCCCCAATCCAGAAAGAAGCTGTATATGGTTTGACAGAGATCTATAGAAGTGAAATCCAAAATGCACGTCTAGTGGCAAATCCTGGATGTTATCCCACATCTATTCAGCTTCCTCTTATTCCTTTGATAAAGGTGTGTCCCTTGAAATAGCATTTCTGATTATGCCTATTCTGATGTCATCTTACACAGCCTTCGGTGAGGTAGCAATGTTTTCTAAGGGTAAGGTGCGTGTATAGAACCCACAGGAACTGAATTGGAATTAATTTTGGGATAGATTGCCCTTCTTTCCCCAAATCAGAGCATGAGATTATGAATTGATATTTCAACAATCAAAGTACTAAAATTTATGTAGCTGCGACATTACTATCGATAGAGCTAGAAATCTCCAATCAAAAGAACATATACTTGCTATGAAAATCCATATTAAGTGGCTTTTCCATGCAACTCCAACTTTTAAGGCATGATTTTGACATAACACAAAATCAAGTATTTCAAAGCAGAAGTCTTTTGAAAATATTCAGAATATATTATTTTGGCCTTTCTATTTTATTAAGACTATTTCTTTTATCATTTTTTTATGTGGAACACCATGTCAGAACACAATTTATGTAGCCAACCCTATGTGGTTTAGACAAGGTTTTGTTTTTAGATCTTTTAATTTATATCTCTTCTCTCTCATTTCGTTTTCGTGACTGGTATTTTTATCATTGGAGGCTTTAATTCTGTTCTCCCCCTCCCCCTGGGGGTGAAATTATAAGTTCTCAACAACTCACAAACATCAGATGCTTATTTTCTGGCTTGTACGTTCTTCGCCTTGGACATGGAAATCATGCTTTAACCGTCTGTCAAAATGCTTATTCTCTGGCTTCTATGTTCTTTGTAGTCTTAGACATTTAAAAATGCTTTGAAAGTGTTAATGAGCTCAATAGATTATTGACTCTACTTGCTTGTTAAAGGAACATAAAATCTCCAAATTTGGTATCTTTGAGCGATTCTTTATCTCCAAATTTGAAAGTGCTTCATAAGTATGTATTACTTCACTTTTCGATGTTCAGATGGGGCACGACTAAACTGGTGATTGAACAGTGATAGACATATGTGCTATTTCAATGCTTAATACGAAGCTGGGGTTCATATTCCTTTTCCCCTTTCCATTAGTTCCAATTAGTGTCCTATTCTTTTCTGGTGTTCTTTGTGCTTGCAGGCTAACCTTATTGAAGTGAAAAATATCATTATTGACGCAAAATCTGGTGTCAGTGGAGCAGGTTTGGATTTGTCAAGACTTTTCCTTAGCAATATGTTCTCAATGCTACTTGCAGCAATGCTGGAGCAACTTCTGATACTTGATACACCATACAGGACGTGGTGCCAAGGAGGCAAATTTATACACTGAAATAGCTGAAGGGATTCATTCTTATGGCATTACCAGGCATCGTCATGGTATGTTTTTTTGTAGTTGACCCCGTCATGATGATGCAATAAAAAAATCAGATACGAGAAAATATTTGATGACTGTTTGCCAATCTAAAGCGGCTTATGTACCAGTTGGGAATTGTGCCAAAGTTTGCTAGATGTTCTCTTAGATCTTCGCTAGTTGTTCTCTTAGATCATGCGTTTTGCGTCTCTTTTGTTGTCAATTGCGACTTCGCTTTTTTGTTTAATCCTTTTCCTGTTGTAGGATCCAGACTAACGTTTAATAATGTTTTAGAGTTCTATTTGTTTATTGAGGGGTGTATAGTGACCTCATCACAATCGTAAGTGCATGTCCTAGTTCCTTGATTACTACAGGCACTAATCTGGTTTCTATGGGTGGTTTTCAGTGCCAGAAATTGAACAAGGATTATCTGATGCCTCTAATTCAAAAGTAACTGTCAGCTTCACCCCACACTTAATGCCCATGGTAATTGTTGCACACTGATGTATGCATTTTTTTTTAAATGGTCACTCTTTACTCACTATACTTTCTTGTAGAGCCGTGGTATGCAATCAACTATGTATGTGGAAATGGTTCCGGGAGTTTCAACTGAGGATTTGTGCCATTGTTTGAGGAGCTTTTATGAGGTATGTCTTCCGTTTTTCTCTCTCTCTCTCTGCGTGTGTTTGTGTGTGTGTGCATAGATTTTTTTTGTTTTTTTTGCCTTTCCCTTTTGAGGCAAAGAGAATGGCGGAAGCTCTTTTTTAATGGGTAATTTAAAGAAGCTATCATCCAATAACTTGTACACTGGCAAATATTGTTTGCCTCAAGGTGTAGTGCAGGAGATCTTGTTGATGCTTTGATAATGTATAATAGGCTGTTGCCTGTATGGACACACAGCCGCAGTGGCATTTCATTCTCTAGATTTCTTGTATGTACAGCTTTTATGGGCTGTATGGCTGGAGAGTTTTTTCATGTCCCATGTCCACGGAAATCAATGGGCATCTTAGAAGCTTGGTTCCTAGTGACTGTGACACACTAATATTGTGGTGTGCATTTTTATGAATACTTGATTGTTTCCTTTGGCAATGGGTGGATTGATATTTTTTTTTTCTAAAATTTTGCAGAATGAAGAATTTACAATTTTGCTGAAGAATAAGGAAGTTCCTCACACTCGCCATGTCCGAGGATCTAATTATTGTCTTTTGAATGTCTTTCCCGATCGAATCCCTGGAAGAGCAATAATAATATCTGTCGTAAGTTTGCCTTTCCAGGAGTCTTTTCTATAAACTTTTATTGCATGCCAAATTTTTATGTTATTTCTTTATGGCTAAGCTGTAAAAAACTTCTTGCAGATTGATAACCTTGTGAAGGGAGCTTCTGGCCAAGCTTTACAGAATCTTAATTTAATGATGGGAATTCCAGAGAACACAGGGCTTCTGTGCATGCCTTTATTTCCTTAGCATATTCCTTCACATATAATTGTCATGAGTAAGCATGTTTTTTTTTTTTTTGGGTCAAAATGAGTAAGCATGTTAGTGTCAACTCAACTTGACAAAGCCCCATCTTACCTGCTTACGTTCAGCTTGTTCTTTTTGCTGTCACTTACACTTGGTGAGTTGAACTCTTAGTAGTTGTTCTATATTTGATGTTACGACGGCCAAATAGATCACCATGTCTTTTGAATGCCTCCATCCACCTTCCTCTTAGACTTACCGCTCCTTTTCTTCACGATGTGTTTGATTCTGTTGCACTTGACCAACCATCTCGCATCTCTCTGTCACACACTTGTGCTGCTTTCATCTAAGCATACAGTTATCAGCTGAGTGTTTCTGAGACCTACACTGGGGCATATGCACGCTACAAGGCTTGGTCAGTCTGTGTGCTTTCTGTTGTGTATAGGGTGGGTACGTGTTACATAGGGCGTTGATTTGACGAGTACTATGTCACGCTTAATATGTTATAAGGTATTCCATAACACACATATCATTTCCTTTGGACTCGTATCAACTGTTCTACACGCATGCATTCATACCTTTATACAAACTGATGAAAAAAATGTGTATTATCTCTTATTATATGCACAACTTTGCATATTTGCAGTAGAGGTTGATGTGTATGCTGTGCCTTGCAGGTTTATTTATATTGCAAAACCTTCTTTAGCCTTGCACAAACTGTTGAATTTCGTTTTAAGAGACTGTATTGTAATAAGGTGCAATGGAATCCTTAGCCTGCACTCAAGGAGGGTTATTGTACATTTCTGTCATGGTGTGAAACTATTGAGCTGATTTTGCTGCATATTGTCCCAAATAAAATGTAATGATCGATGATTGAAGTTAAAGGATCTCCAAAGAATTTAATGATGAATGATTGAACTTGAATGGCATTGGCGGAATTGGAAATTGAGGAAGACCAAGTCCATCGGTGCCAAGATTGGAGGATGTTTCACTATGCCTACCCTCTTGTAGATGTTTTCTCGACTGACATATGTCGCGATATCAAGTCTAAGAAAGAAGTCATGCCTTAGTATTCTGTGAGCAAGGACTCTTTGGTCACTGACAGTCAAAAATTAACAGAATTAGAGCTCTCTCTATAGGCTATACCAAAGCCTTTCCTCTTCGTTTAGGTTATTTGCAGCCAAAGTTAACAGAATTTTGAGAAACTATACCAAAGAGTTCTCACAAGGTAAGTGAATGTGAAAGTTAAATGGCCACTATTTTGCAATGGTACCATACAAAAGGTGAAAAAGAGTGATTATTAATTGACAGTATGCAGAGTGTCTAAGATACTCGTCTGTATCAAGTT